CACCCAATACCCCAGTCAGATGTAGAACTGACCAGGAGGACCTATGTCTTATCGGGATCAGCCTGTTCATCCTCATCCAGATCGACACAGCAGCTAGGCACTGTTCCAGTTTCCGAAGGGCTTCCTTGGAATCGGATGGAAAAGAGTAGTGGAGTTGGGTGTCATCTGCTTAGAGATGGCACCGTGCTCCAAAACTCCAGATGACCTTTCTCAGTGGTTTCATGTAGATGTTAAATAGTATGGGGGACAAGATCGAGTCTTGCAGGATCCCACAGGTCAACGGCCAGGGGTTCGAGCAGGTGTCCCCCAGCTTCACCAACTGGGAACGACCCTCAAGAAAGGATCAGAGCCACAGCAAAACCGTGCCCCTGAGACTCATCCCAGAAAGTCTTCCCAGAAGGATACCATGGTCGATGGTATCGAAAGCCGCTGAGATGTCCAAGAGAACCAGCAGGTCCACACTCCCCCTGTCCAGTTCCCTGCGGAGGTCATCCACTAAGGTGACCAAAGTCGTCTCGGTGCTGTGCCCAGGCCTGAAGCCAGACTGTGAATGATCTAGAAAATCAGCACCGGGGGCTCCTATGTATTAGTATACAGACTCATAAAACCATGGGCCATTCCCCCTCCTACTGTTGGATCCTTGCATTATTCAGACAGTTCTCTCTATGGGCGCTTCAACACTGCCATATAAAAGCCAGATATCTGCTTTGGACTGGATTATATGGTAGTGTAGACTCATATAATCCAGTTCAAAGCAGATAATGTGGATTATCTGCTTTGATAATCTGGATTATATGGCAGCATAGAAGGGACTGTAACAGTTGGGCTATTATCTTCAGGATCTGAGGAACTCCTGGCTTCAAGAAGGTTGATGTTATCAAAATTCGAGAAGGAAATTATCAGGACTCCATTCACCCCTACCCTCTTTCTGTTTCAGGAAAGTTATCTGTTTCTAAGTAATGACCATTCGGAAAGAATATTTTAAGAGAACTTAAAATCATGTTCTCTCTTTTCTTGCAGTAAAACCAACTTGTCTGAAAACACCATACTAGTTCTCATATAAACTGCTGATTCTCCACATCTCACCCAGTAACCAACCTATTTATAACTCCTCCACCTGGGAAATTCAAGCCATTGGCTGGCAGTTCGACAACATGTCAGCTGCACTTGCTTCTCAGTTCTTACGACAGCTGTCAACACTATGGTGACATTTCTCTTCCATCGCAGTGATTGCAAATCTCTCAGAAGCAAGTCTCTATTATGAACATATGACATTAAGTACAAATGACCCCTCTACTATAGTTGAGTTTTATCTATTCCAATTGGTGCTGGCTCTCCAGAGCCTCAGGTCTTTCCCCAACTTGCTGCATGAGATCCTTTTAATCAGAATTATTGGAAGAACAGAACTTGGGATCTTGTGCTTGGAAGGCATGGATTCTACCCCTCTCTGCTCTATACAGAGTTATGGGCACTTGGTATTCGCAGATAGGCGAATACACAAGCAACACCAAAACACTAGATTTAGGCCCCATTTACATTGCCCATTTAATGCAGATCAAACTGCATTATGCGGTCAGTGTGGACTCGTATAATGGAGCTTAACTGCATTGAACTGCATTATATAAGTTTGATCTGCATTGCATGGTCAGTGTAAACAGGGCCTTGGTTAATATTAGATTATATCAGAGCTTTATTTTCCTATTTACTAGCATAAGCTTGGATACACCTGAATTTGCTTGCACATAGTTTTTTTGCATACATGAGCCGAACAATGTCAACTCAAGATCACTTAAATCTTTAAAACTACTATGTTGGTTTTTTTTTTTTTTTGAAAAATTAGAATAGCAGAGGGTAAGTGTTCCCCATCGTTTTGGTGTGGATTTTCCAAACTGTACAGGCTATTTATTTTTCTTGAGCTTACTGCTTTGTTGCACAGTTTTCTGTTTAAATAAAATGAGTTTATGCCATTTATACTAACCCAGCACACAAAGCACAACAGCCAGTATTTTATAGATTTATAGTTTTATGGCTATGTTTTAAATGACACTGAATCTTGCTGGAGTTATAAGCCGCCTTACGTCCCCTCACATAAATATTTTTATTTATTTATGAAGCAAATAAATACTGCTGCAGAAATGTCATAAAGGACCCTTCCACACAGCCATATAACTCGGAATATCAAGACAGATGATCCACAATATCTGCTTTGAACTGGAATATCTGAATCCACACTGCCATATAATTCAGTTCAATGTGGATTTTATACAGCTGTGTGAAAGGGCCCATAGTGAGTTAAAACTTTACTATGATGAATGAAACATTTTCCCCAACCATGTCTTGTTTGATGGTGTTGTAGATCAGCCTGAGACTCCTGAGACTGATGGGTTCATTAATGATTTAGAGAATTGTGGGATTGCCAGTGGGATTTCCTGAGGGTCAACGTGATGAAGATTCAAGTCAAGGGAATGATGCTTCTGTCTCTGAGAAATCTGACTTGGAAAGTGCAGGGCTTCAAGGTCCATCAGATGAGCCAGAAACTGCAACATTATATAAGGAGTTGGGTGAAGAGATATGTGATATATAAGGCTCTCACGAGAAAACTCCTGGAGTTACAGAGATCAACAGTCTTCATTTACAGATCAGAGCAGAAAATAAGCATTGTATGTCTGAGTGATTATGTGGGAAAGTTGGGGAGAGATTCTGTGGGAAAAACATGACTTCATGGGTGTCTATTAATTAGCAAGTTGCTTACCTAAGAGTTAGTTCAGGCAATGTAGCATTTAAGTGTGTAGCTAGGCCAGAGTTCTTGGGTTCTTGTCTCAAGTCAAAATTTGGTTTTGGATTTAAATTTCCTGGAGTTTTCTATGTTCTTGTCTTTATATTCCTGTTCAAGTTTTACTAAGTATACCTTTTGCTTGTGAACTTATGCTGTACTTGTGACCCTTTGGCTATTCCTGGGCTGCGTTACCTTGGGATCTGAGACATTTGGATTACTGTTTGGTTATCACCTATTGCCAACCCTTTTTTTGAATTATACATCTTCTTTCTTTATTCCTGATTTTTCATATATTTTATGTGTTTTTACATAAACTATCTGTTTTCTTGTGTTGTGCTGTGGTCATAGATGTTTCCAGGTCTGGGGTGCTATAGACGATTTAATTTTTGCTAAAAAGTTGCTGGCATGGATACTAGTATACTATTAACTATCTTATTTCAATTTTGATGTTTGTCATTTGGAGAGAACTTGAAGTGGACTTGTTTGTTTCAGAAGGACATTGAGTTCCCAAACACTTCCCTATCCTAAGCAAGGAAAATATCTGCTATGCTAAGTCTAGATATTAAAGCATATTGCAGGTTATCTCTTGGACTAATCTATAAAAATCCAGTGCCATTTTATATGCATTCTATCTTTATTCTATCCTTTTTATCCATTTACTATCATGACCTTTAGCAGATTAAAATAGGTAATACTATTTTGAGCAAACAAAGATTTATCATTGGCTATTCAAATGCCATCATTGCCCTAAAGAAATATTTTTAAGATGCTGCAAGTTCTAAAACCATGTTTTAAAAACTTTTAAGGATTATGTTTCCTACCAACTTTTCCACCAAGAAACCACAGGCATTGCAAAGTATACTGAGGTATGTTATATTGACCATTGGCAAGGCTTCTCTTGCCTTACTGCCAACTTAAATGACCTGACACCATACTCAAAAACATACCCAGCACCCCCTGCTCTTTTTGCACATGGCAGAGTGGTTTTCAGGGAAGTTTTCTTGCTATTTCTAGCCTTTGTTTTGAAATCAGCAGAAGAACACCAGAGTTCCTTAGAATACAACTTCAAATCCACGATTATTTCAAAATAATTTCTCAGCTTTGCTGGGCAATACGAAATCCCAAAATCCCAAAAGAACATCTTTTTTACAGAATCAATTCACTAGCTAGAAAGTGTCTTGGAAATGTATAGGCATTATTGTAGCACGGGTTAATTTACAAATATACATGAAAAGCATGTAGTACCATTCTATAAAGCAACAGTGGCAGTTTCTTGCTTTATAGATTTTTTTCTTGCTTATTAGTTACAACGATTGAAGTATCTGTTTACCTTCCAAATTTCAAACTTCAGTGGCCACCTGCTGCCACTTGGACAGATCTAGTGCTTAGTAAGTATATATAGCAAAGGCCACTGACCAAGTACCACTAGCTAACCTTTCAAAGAAAATACATCTGCACAACCCAAAATAATAATAATCAAATGCGAGTTTCAATTGTCCAGATACGGAATATCCATAGCTTTTTACATTGCTATGATCAGTATGTTATTCTGCAAATGATAAATTCTTCAGAATTCTCAGTCCAAGGCATAATAAAAGTTGGGTTGTTGTAGGTTTTTTCGGGCTATATGGCCATGGTCTAGAGGCATTCTCTCCTGACGTTTCGCCTGCCTCTATGGCAAGCATCCTCAGAGGTAGTGAGGATGCTTGCCATAGATGCAGGCGAAACGTCAGGAGAGAATGCCTCTAGAACATGGCTATATAGCCCAAAAAAACCTACAACAACCCAGTGATTCCGGCCATGAAAGCCTTCGACAATAATAAAAGTTGTTTGATTTAATTGCGAAAAAGCGATTTTACTATTTCCATTCTGTAACTTGTTTACAAAGTTTTACAAAATGGCATTCAGTATGTTTAATAGCTACCTCTCTAGAATATTTGCCCTTAGCCAGATTTCTGATGAAGCAAAGAGGTAAGACAACTGCAAAGGTATCACTTCTTCGTAACTTCATGTTCACTGAATATAGGGCCACACAGTCCTATATTGCATTACTATATTTTGGAACCTTGATCAAAGCACATGCAGCACTAGTCTCTGAACAGACTGCAGACATGCCCAGTTATTTTTTCCCAATTAAGTGACACAGGAAACTGAAATTAAAGTTTTCATCCAAGTTCAGAGAAGCTGCAAATGTGGCACTAGTTTTTGCTCAGTCCGCACTCACCCGACTGTAGATATCCTCCTTGCCGGCCTCATACTTCTGCTGTATCCGTTCCTCCAGGAAGTAAATGCGTAGCTTGAGGCTGAAGTTCTCCTTCTTCAAGTCATTGAGGTGCTGAGACAGAGTACGATAACCATTAGACATGGTTGGGGATCCATGGGGTGGAAGCGTTCTCACACCCCCTTCACTCCAGTAACATTTTGAAGTTGAGAAAAGAAGGGAACCCTAGCAAAACGGCTATGGCGGCACAGCCTAGGAGGGTTATGGAGACATGGGGACGAAATCAAAAGTTTGGGAGTCAGCTGTCTTGCAGATCGACACTGACTGACCACTCAGCTCCAGAACAGAGTACAGCTCACTTTCTTTTTTTACCTCCAGGAAGTATTTGAGGAATCCTTGGCAGCAACTCATCCTACATGCACACGCAAACACACACACACACCCACACACACACACACACACACACACACAAGTGTTGAAATCTGAGCTGGATTGAGGAGGACCCTGTAGTTTCACTGACAACTCACAGCCATCCCTTGACAACTGCAGAAGATTAGCAGCTCTTGGGGAACCAGGGAAAATTTGGCAGCCAACCTCATCCAAAAGGGATATAAACAGATTGTGACTAGGCCAGGTGTTGGACTAGGTAATATGATCAAGACAATGCATGACATGAGGAAGAGAGGACGAGGAGAATGACTCAAATTCCACCAGGGAGACAGCTTCACTACATAATCCTGCACCCCATCAAAGAATAAGCATCTCAGATTACTTTCTGGGCCTAGACACACTTTTAAATTCCATGAAAAACTGAAGTGAAACCCAAATATGGCTTCTGACTCAGATGGCAATGCTGCTTTTATAGTTAGACGTTTATGGAAGCAAAAGGGCAGCATTAGTTTCCCAGGAGACTTGGAGGGCTCTACTTCCCAACCACCATTTTTTTGTCCCCAAATACCTCCAAATGTCTTCAAGCCCACTGCTTTTAAAACTGTGGGTCCCAAACCCTTATTCTCAATGTTGGGGTCCCAAAAATGTAGCAGCAGTTCAAGTTTTCTGAAAGCTATCTAGTGGCTCTTTTAGGCATTTACACAAATCTGCTGTGCAGGGTTTACAGTGGACTCTGCAGAAGATGCTTCAGCTGTACTTAATAAAAAAGAAAACAAGCCTTGCAAATGCTGATCTGTTATCAGTAAATGTTTTATATACCTACTAGTCGTCCCCGCTACGTTTTACTGTGGCCCAGTCTGTGTATATGTGTTTTGTATGTGTATATGTGTATTTGCGTATATGTCTATATATGTGTGTTTGTGTTTATATATGTGGTTTTGCACATGTGTTGTAATATATTTTTCATTTTTTGGCTTTTTAAGTCTCTTCTACTATGTTTTTCACTGTTTTTATGAGTGATGGTCACACGTTGGCCTGATAGGTGTATTGTGTCCAAGTTTGGTGTCAATTCGTCCAGTAGTTTTTGAGTTATGTTAATCTTACAAACAAATATTACATTTTTATTTATACAGATATACCCAGGGTCAGGTAGAAATGTCTTCGGCCAAAAGAGATTACAAGTGGAAAACTTTAAGAAGTTGTGTTCTAGAGGGCATTTTTGTTGGGGGTTTTCTGGCCCGTTGTATGACCAGGAGTTGCCAGAAATCATTTCTCTTTAAAATAAAATAAAAAGACTTCTATCAGGCCTGAATTGGCTCAAAGAGGTAAAAGTGGGCTTCTGAAGCATTTTTTTGTTGCAAAACACGCTTTTTATTGCATTGTGTTTTTTTTTACTTTCTCTTTGGGTGAGCAATATACAGCCCATCCGGTGACCTAGCAGGTCCAAACATTGTTTTAAAGTAAGCGATACTGAAGAAATCCAGGAAATCCCAGAGTGTTCTGGATTCTAGATCTTGCTCACAAAATTCTCTTCTGGGGCTTCTTCTACAATGACATATAATCCTGATTATCAAAGCAGATAATTCACATTATTGGCTTTTAACTGGATTATATGAGTCTACATTGCCATATAATCCAGTTCAAAGCAGATAATCTGGATTTTATATGGTAGTGTAGAAGGGGTAGTCTGAAGTTCTGCCTTGAGTCATTTGGTCTGGAGAGTGGGACAATATTATCCAAATTAAAAATTAACCTCACTAGTCTTCAATTTGTTGGAGGAAATGTTGGAGGAAAGTTCTGAGAGTGCCTTGGACTGCGAGAAGATCCAACCAGTCCATCCTCCAGGAAATAAAGCCCGACTGCTCACTGGAGGGAAGGATACTAGAGACAACGTTGAAGTACTTTGGCCACATCATGAGGAGACAGCAAAGCCTAGAGAAGACAATTATGCTGGGGAAAGTGGAAGGCAAAAGGAAGAGGGGCCGACCAAGGGCAAGAAGGATGGATGGCATCCTTGAAGTGACTGGACTGACCTTGAAGGAGCTGGGGGTGGTAACGGCCGACAGGGAGCTCTGGCGTGGGCTGGTCCATGAGGTCACGAAGAGTCGGAGACGACTGAACGAATGAACAACAAAGTCTTCAATTTGCTTGTCAATGTGTGGCTCCTCCATGAATTTCATAGGGTTTTCTTAGACAAGGAATATCAGATGTGAATTTGCTAGAATGGGATAAAATGCTATAAGGCAGAGTCAAATATGTTGTGGTATCTATAGAATAACTAGAATGAATGTAATCTTCCAGTTAAGGTCTGGATAACACAACATATTTCCTCACTTTAATGATGTTTTATACTATTCACAAGAGAGACAAGAAATCAAAAGTTAAACACTGTGCCCTTAAGTCTTTGTAACCTGACTCCAACAATAATTCTTCTCTGGAAATGTGACAGAAACCTTTAAAATTACAGTTTCTCCTTAGGCACCAAGGAGAAGGTTAGCTGTCCCCTGCTGCAGCTAGGCTTCCCTTCCCTTATATGTATTACTTGCTGGGGCTAGATCACCAGGAAACAAAGAAGTAGTCTTCCCTTCTGCCCAGTTCGTGCTTACCACAGCTGCTGAAATGCCAATGCTCAAGTCCAGTATGGGAGCCAGGAAATAATTTCAGGGAAGATGTTTGTAAGATAAGTGTAACTGAGTTTGGGGACCATAGGAGTGAGGAAGTTTAATTGTCAATTTGAATTGGCTTTAGAAATGAGAGATTACCCAATTATTATAGTGTCTACTCCTCTTATCTGTGCCCTAATTTATCACAAATTGATGGGTGTTTGCAACCACTATTAAATATTTAGGAGAATTTTTTTCGTGTCAGGAGCAACTTGAGAAACTGCAAGTCACTTCTGGTGTGAGAGAATTGGCTGTCTGCAAGGATGTTATTTTTACCATGCTTGTGGGAGGCTTCTCTCATGTCCCCGCATGGGGAGCTGGAGCTGACAGAGGGAGCTCAACCCGCTCTCCCCGAATTCGAACCTCTGACCTGTTGGTCAGCAATCCTGCCGGCACAAGAGTTTAACCCATTGTGCCACTGGGAGCACCTATTTAGGAGGATAAGAACAATGAGAGAGCTACCTAACTGTTCTTCCACTCCAGAAAGCGAAATCTATGAGTAGGGTTTCTGTCTCATAGTAAAAATCAGCATTTGCAAACAGATTTTTCTGCAAAATCCATATTTTTTTTATTTAAAAGGATGCACCGCCAACATCTTATTTATCTTCTGTAAAATAATGCAAAGCTGTAGTAGCAACTGGCTCATGAACAGGGACACAAGCTATCTCATTGGGTTTGTTAGGTTTAATTTACTGATGTTAGGCTTTAATTTGATGTTAAGTTTTAATGTTACTTTCATATGTCGGGTTTTTTTTCTGGGATTTTATGTTAATTATTGTGTGTTTTATGTAGGCATTGAATGTTTGCCACTGTTATGTTGTATTGCCATTGTTTTGTTGTTATTTATTTTCTTCCCTATCTCCCCTGAGTCCCCACGGGGAGATAGTGCAGAATACAAATACTATTTAAACATTATTTACTAGCCGTCCTCTGCCACACATTGCTGTGGCCCAGTCTGTGTATATGTGTTTTGTGTGTGTATATGTGTGTGTCTATATTTGTTTATAGGTGTGTATATGTGTGTTTGTGTATATATATGTAATTTTGTGCATGCACTGTAATGTATTTTTTATTTTTTGGCTTTTTAAGCCCCTTCTGCTGTGTTTTTCAGTGTTTTTATGAGCGATGGTCACTCGTTGGCCTGATAGGTGTCTTGTGTCCAAATTTTGTGTCAGTTCGTCCAGTGGTTTTTGAGTTATGTTAATCCCACAAACAAACATTACATTTTTATTTATATAGACTAGCTGCACCCACCATGTGTTGCTGTGGCCAACCTTCCCTCCCTCTTTGTCTCCTTCGTTCTTTCTCTCCTTCCTTCTCTCTTTTTTCCCCCTTCTTCTTCCTTCCTTCTCTATCTGTTTCTTTTCTCACTTCCTTTGCTCTTTGGTTCCATCCTTCCTTCCCTCTTTCATTCCTTCTCTCCTTCCTTCCTTTCCTCTTTCACTTTTTTATTTTGTTCTCTCCTTCCTTCCTTCTCTACCTTTCTTTCCTTCTCTCCTTTTCTCTCCCTCCTTTCCCCTTTCTGTGTATGTTTTGTGTATGCATATATATGTGTATATATTTGTACATATATATGTGGTTTTGCGCATGCGTTGTAATGTATTTTTTTGTTTTTTTGGCTTTTTAAGCCTCTTCTGCTGTATTTTTCTGTGTTTTATGAGTGATAGTCACTTGTTGGCTTGATCAGTGTATTGTGTCCAAATTTCGTGTCAATTCATTCAGTGGTTTTTGAGTTATGTTAATCCCACAAACGAACATTACATTTTTATTTATATAGATTATTATTATTATTATTATTATTATTATTATTATTATCTTACATAGAAATTAAACAGTGCCTAGTTTTTATAGTTATTTTTGCCCACAGAAACTATAGCTGGAGGAAATGCTTATCTCTTCCCCCACATCCACATTTCCTACTGCATACTCCATCTACACATTACCAGCACCAAATAGCATTTCCCACAGCTGCATGTTTGTGAAAGTAAATATGCAATTGCACCTATACAGAAATGAACGTAATGTTAGGGGAGGGGAAAGTATAATGACAGAAGAGGAAAACAAAGGGATAAGCAAAGTCTCATTATTTTTACATATACTGTTTTCATGCAACTGTTTTTTAAAGGGATGCTGGGGCTTCAGGATGTTGCGGTGTGCCATTTTTATGAAGACTTATGGGACAGAATAGTAAGGAGGCGACAAAGAACACTGCATAATGGAGAATGGGTCAGAGACACTTTACACAATCAATTATCTGCCCGTATTAGAATTTTATCTTCCCATTCATAACATAATGCAGTTCAAGCAGTGAGAAAATGTGGTCTTTTCAAAGAAAGTGACTTTTCTTTTAAAAACTCTTTTACTCTTTGTTTTAGTCCCTGTAAAAGAATAAATTGGGCAGGAAAAAATAGTGTAAATGCCACATGCACAATGGAGGACCTTCTTGCAGCAACACCAGAAGCACTCCAAGTGGCCAGCTACTGGTCAAAGGACATTTAATCAACTACCAAACTCACAAATTTTGTATTTTGTCTGTTTGTTTGTTTGCTTTGTTCTGTTAGAAATGTAATATAATTGTCTGGTTGCCCTGACATGACAAATAAATAAATATGGGGGCTTTCAGCCTATTTACCTTCTCAAAATCCCGCAGTGTCTGGGTTTGTGCAGTAGAACCTTGCTCATAACCTGAAGGAAGGTGTTTCTCGACAACGGTCATCTCCAAACTCCTCACAAGGTCAGGCTGCACTTGTCCAACAGAGCAAGTCACATCCATGTCTTCTGTGACGGGTGTCTGCAGCAATGCCCCTGTGTTAAGATCGTTTAACATTTCTGGCTGCATCTGGTAGCTCTGCTGTATAGAATCAACAAGTGCTGTTGAAGTGGGATGGAGTAAGCAAAGGAAGACAAGATGAAGTCAGAGAGAAGTCACAACCTAACATTGTCACAACTCTAAACCAAACGCCTACTTGAAGGCTTTAGGTTGGTATTCGTAGTATTTTTCCTCTCACATTCTGCTTACGTCAATGTTATATATTTATTTATTACGGCCGATGACTAGCACCAAAAAATGAACAAATGTTGGAATAGGAACATATACATTTAGATATTAAGAAACACTGTCAAAAGCAACATTAAAAACCAGTATTGAATTTGATAGTTAAAACAGTAAATAAAGGAAAAAGTTTTGCCCTGACATTAAGTTCAGTCGTGTCTGACTCTGGGGGTTGGTGCTCATCTCCATTACTAAGCCGGACTGGTAGCACAACTGGTTAATCAGCTGCAATAAATCACTGCCAACTGAAAGGTGGCAAGTTTGAAGCCTGAGTTGGGGTTGAGCGCCCGACTGTTAATTGCTGTGTTTTAAAAATGCCCAGCTCACTGTCGACCTAAGCAGTTCGAAAACAGCTATGAGCGGTGAGTAGAGAAATTAGGAACCGCCAAAAGTGGGGAGGCTAATTTATGACACCATAAAAATGCTGGAGAGCAAGAAGGAAATACTATAATCAAAAAGGCTTGATGTCATAGTGGATGAAGCGACAGCTCCCCCTGTGGCCAAATCAAGCAACTTCCAGGATCCGAAGTGGAAGAACTGCTGAATTGCCTCTATCTGTCTGTATATCTTGTATGTCAAAAACAGCATTGAATGTTTGCCGTGTATATGTACATTGTGATTCGCCCTGAGTCCCATTCAGGGTGAGAGGGGCGGAATATAAATAGTGTAAATAAGTAATAAATAAATAATAAATAAAACTGCAAATAAGGAATAAATAAATAATAAGCCGAAGAGCCGGTGCTGTCCGTAGATGCCTCCAAGGTTATGTGACTGGCATGACTGCATGGAGCACCATTACCTTCCCGCCGGAGCGATACCTATTGATCTACTCACTTTTGTATGTTTTCGAACTGCTAGGTTGGCAGAAGCTGGGGCTAACAGCGGGAGCTCACCCCTCTCCCCCCAGATTTGAACCAGCTCAGCGCTTTAACACACTGTGCCACCGGAGGCACACAATTAAAACGATATTAAACATTTATATGCTAAGAAGAAGAAGAACTTTATTTTTCTACCCTGCCTCCATCTCCCCAAGGGGACTTGGGTGGCTTACATGGGGCCAACATACAATTAAAAGCAAAACAATAGCAAGTTACAAATTAAAAACACACAAAACAGCATAACAGTGATAAACAAACATCAAGCAACAGCAACCCAAAATTTTGGAGGGGGGGGGGAAGGAGGCCAACATACAAAGTGATTTAAAAGGTAAGTAGTTCGATAAGGTGCATAGGAATATAACTGGTACAGGAGATAACATGATAAGATGATAATGGTAAATACTGAAATAAATATTAAAACCTTCTAAGACTGTGGCAGCATCTTACGCCGACAAGCTATCGCTGCTGCACAAAAACTCTAAACAAAACGCCTACTTGAAGGCTTTAGGTTGGTATTAGAGGCATTTTTCCTCTCACATTGTGCTTATATCAATGTTGTTTACATACAAGAAGAAGTGAAAGGCAGCCTTTCTAAAAATAGAAAGGACTTATTAGTCAAGGCAGGTTTTATACTTAGATTACAGTAGTAGGAAATACAAATTACAGGACTAATGTAGAGCTGGAGAAAGTAAAGAGAGGGGCAATACAAATGATCAACAGCCTAGAGCATCTTTTCTATGTGGGGTTAACAAAAAGGACCCTATAGTAGCTTTCATGTGTTCTGTAAGCAGATAGAGATAAAATTTTTCATCCCTTCACATACTAATTAAATTCTGATTCACTTTCACTATAAGAAATGTAATAGATCTTGATTTGGAGGGTGTTAAATAGGGACTATAGGCAAGAAGTTATCATAGATAACACCTCCATATTCATCTTTGAATCCCACGTGCTGGAATAAGAAGCCTTTTCCATCTGGATCCCTTCTAGACAGATTAGATTTCAAAGATAAACAATTGTTTTAGCAATGGATGATGGACACTGAAGTCTATCTTGAAAGCACACAAAAATCTTGAACTTGACACACTCTAGCATTATCCATCACGATGTTGCGCAGGTATCCCATCTTTCCCTTATTAAGAAAATTCTTGCAATAAGAATTTCTTGTTGTTCATTCATTCAGTCATTTCCGACTCTTCGTGGCTTCATGGACCAGTCCACGCCAGAGCTCTCTGTCGTCACCACCCCCAGTTCCTTCAAGGTCAATCCAGTCACTTCAAGAATGCCATCCCTCTATCTTGCCCTTGGTCGGCCCCTCTTCCTTTTTCCTTCCATTTTCCCAAGCTTCATTGTCTTCTCCAAACTTTCCTGTCTCCACATTATGTGGCCAAAGTACTTCATCTTGGCCTCTATTCTTCCCTCCAATGAGCAGTCAGGCTTTATTTCTTGAAGTATGGACTGGTTGGATCTTCATGCTGTCCATTTCTAGACTCCATGTAATGTTCCATATTTGCCAAAATGACTTGCACAATATAATTATCTGGAAGCATCAGGTCACTAAAACTCCCACCATAATATTTTGATGTATTAATGCTAGAATGGGCATAAATGGCATATTCAAGATAGATTATATAGTATATTGCAGAAAGTGACACCTTAAAAGCACAAACAGGCAAAGTCTTACCCATCATCGTATGCCCACTTCTGGGGACCATTTTGCCCTCAGCCTCCTTCCTGTAAAAAAAAAATATTGGCCAATGAGTGTGCACAGCATTCACATTTGTGGAAGTATCTAAAAAGCAGGGATTTCCCTCTTACTAAGCTTGCCCATCTACTAAACTCGTGCAGGCCAAAACAACCCATGTTTTCTCCAGAATGTTCAGCTATGGGGCCCTTGATAGCTCCTTGGAAAATCTGTTCTATTTCCCTGCAATCTGGGGTTATGGCATTTTGTCCATCTTGAGATCAACTGGAGGTAGGTGTTCCTATCTGAGAACAAGTGGAGAAATTTCACAGGAAACAAAATCTAAGAATAATATTTTGTGCGAAAGCCCCTTAAGATCCACAAGAAAGCTCAGCTGCAGAATTCCAGCAAAGCTATTCTGTAGCTTTGTCTGCCTGCATTTTGAGCCATCTTCAGATCTGACATGCTTAGACAGTGTCTGTCTCTTATTGGCTTCTCATCATCATATCTCACTTGTCCAGGACTCAAGGGAATGAATGAAGGTGAAGAGCTGTTGCTACTTTAGATTTCATATCTTCCTTCTCCTTTTTCTCTCTACTGCCACATAATAATAATAATAATAATAATAATAATAATAATAATAATAATAATTGTGGAAAAGAAAAAAGTTTGGATTATTGATGCCGCCATACCAGGTGCCAGCTGAATTGACAAAAAACAACAGGAAAAACTCAGCCATCATCAAAACCTCAAAATTGAACTGCAAAGGCTCTGGCATAAACCAGTACAGGTGGTCCCAGTGGTCATTGGCACACTGGGTGCTGTGCCAAAAGATCCCAGCTGGCATTTGGAAACAATAAACATTGACAAAATCATGATTTGTCAACTGCAAAAGGCCGCCTTATTTGGATCTGCATGTATCATTCGAAAATACATCACACAGTTCTAGACACTTGGGAAGTGTTCGACTTGTGATTATGTGATACGAAATCCAGCATATATACCTTATTTGCTGTGACATACTGTGTTTTTGTGTCAGTAAAATAAAATAAAGTAATAATAATGTTTATTTATATCCTGCCCCCTCTCCCCAGGGGACACGGGGCAGCGTACAACATAAATAATATAATAAGTGTAATACAATAAAATACATAAAATGGAATAAACAGTTCATAAAACATCCAATTGCTATGAAACACAAAATACACCTAGAAAGAGAGGGCAAACAATGCAGCACACAACTCCTCTTCCTCCTCTCTACTGTTACTTTCTTGTGTACTCTTTATGTGATTCTCTGGGAATATATACCAGAGAAGCCAATTGTAATACAATATTAGTTGCCACAATGAATAGATTATCTGGGAGGAATGAAGGGAGTTCTATTGCTAAAGACCTTTCTTCCATAAATATCTCCTATTGGAAACTCTTCATGCCTTTGCCATCTCATTTCATCTAATGTGAAATACGGAACAGAAAATATTTCCATGGTCCCATCTGTTCCATAGCCAAAATGTTGACTGTAAATAATGTCAGTCTTTTATGGTCTTAATAAAAGCAATGTTCTGCCCAAAGTCCATGGATTTAAATATATTTGTTTTTTTAGCATGTTGTGTATGGCTTTTATTGTTATTCCACAGGGCCAAGAACAAACAATCACTTCAGAACTCCAGAAAGAGGGATTTCCCCCTCCATTGACAGCCCTGGTCGGAGAGATAGAAAAGAGTGTCAAGCAGAGTCAAAAGGAGATTGTGAGCAAAAAGAGAGGTACAAGGGTTGAATGAAAAATAATATTTCCACCTTCGTAACTCCTCAACAGATGGCAGTACTAGTACGCGGCAGGTACTGGCTTGTCCAGTAGACTCTCGTCTACAGTTCCATTTTGGTGGGAAGCCTTAGCATTGAATGGTTGTGTTGTTAAAGTGCGAAGTATGGAACCCTGCAACGGTCGGTCAATGCAACTTAAGCAACATGCAGTCATTGAATTCTTGACAGCAGAAGGTGTCACCCCAAAGGAGATTCATCAGAGAATGCAAGCTGTTTATGGTGATTGTGTTGATGTGAGTACTGTGCGTCATTGGGCGAGAAAGTTTAAAGATGTTGAGGTGGAAACATCTGACTTGCGTGACAAACAAAGAGTTGGATGACCTGTTACAGCAACCACCGAGTTTCACAAGCAAAAGTTTGACAGATTGATTCAGGACGATTGCCGTATCAGTCAGAGAGAAATTTCAAGAATAATCGGCATTTCACAAGAACATGTGGGTAACATTATTGCTTTGCTTAGTTATTAGAAGATCTGTGCAGGATGGGTACGCAGGATGCTGACACCTGAAATGAAAGCGCACAGACTTGAAACTTCAGAGACTGCATCTCACCACCGTACGACATCCTCCATACAGTCCAGATTTAGCACCGTCTGACTTCCATCTGTTCCTGATAATGAAAGACGATCTGCGGGGACATCATTATGCTTCTGATGAAGATGTTGAGAGAACTATGAGATGCTGGTTATGGAAACAGAGTGCTGACTTCTTCCGTGACAGGTCCAGAAAACTTGTTCATCGTTGGTAGAAATGTATCTATTGTCTGGTGATTATGTGGAAAAGTGAATAGTGGTAATTAAAGAGCACATTCTAAGGATTATTTCTGCATTTGATTTATTAAAATATTCCCATCCAAACCCAAGTAACGAAGGTGGAGGCATTACTTTTCATTCAACCCTCATATAACAGAAGAAGAGAGGAAAGAAATATTCTTGCCCACTTTAAATCCTTGGTCAAGTCATTCCACTGGTAAGATTGTTCCCACAAGGGAATGCAGTCCACTTTAGATAAAACTTTCAATGGCTCTGATTTGGTCTTTCAAAGCAAGAAGATGCACTTTGAACTGGGCTTGGAGAGAAAGCAACCCCCTCAAACCAATGCAACAGAGTAGTGCAATTCAAGAATCAGCCATATCCTATACTACCTCTGCATCATTTTGCACTTACCAATTTTTTTAAACTTTCAAAAGTAATGCCATGTTAAGAATGCTGAAATAATCCGATCTGTTGCAAAAAAGATACAACTCCCACACAAAGTGAAAAGAGAGCAAAAACAACTCCTAAGTTTTAGGCAGAACCTATTTTAAACCAAATCACAGTGCCAATCCTTGCACTCTTTTGCTGTAACATTTCTCTCTACAACAGTGTTTCTCAACCTGGGGGTCGGGACCCCTGAGGGGGTCGTGAGGGGGTGTCAAAGGGGTCGCCAAAGACCATCAGAAAACATAGTATTTTCTGTTGGTCATTGGGATTCTGTGTGGGAAGTTTGACCCAATTCTATTGTTGGTCGAGTTCAGAAGGCTCTTTGATTGTAGGTGAACTATAAATCCCAACAACTACAACTCCCAAATGTCAAGGTCTATTTTCCCCAGACTCTACCAGTGTTCACATTTGGGCATACTGAGTATTCGTGCCTAGTTTGGTCCAGATCCATCACTGCATGAATCCACAGCGCTCCTCTGGATATAGGTGAACTACAACTCCCAATCTCAAGGTCAATGCCCACAAAACCCTTCCCGTGTTTTCTGTTGGTCATGGGAGTTCTTTGTGCCAAGTTCAGTTTAAATCCATCGCTGGTGGAGTTCAGAATGCTCTTTGATTATAAGTGAACTATAAATCCCAGCAACTACAACTCCCAAATTACAAAATCAATCCTCCCCACAACCCCACTAGCATTCACATTTGGGCATATTGGGTATTTGTGCTCAATTTAGTCCAGTGAATGAAAATATATCCTGCATATCGGATATTTACATTACGATTTATAACAGTACTAAAATGACAGGTATCAAGTAGCAACGAAAACAATATTATGGTTGGGGGTCACCACAACATATGGAACGGCATTAAGGGGTCACGGCATTAGCAAGGTTGAGAACCACTGCTCTACAAGCTTGAGTTAGCCTCAAAACAAAAGTGTACCAGCTCAAACATATTCCATTTACTCAGGAAGCAAAGGGAAGGTCCAGTTGAAGGAGCCTCAGGGCTCTTCCACACAGCCCCATGTCCCAGAATATCAAGGCAGAAAATCCCACATTATCTGCTTTGAACAGGAATATATGGCAGTGTGGACTCAGATAAACCCGGTTCAATGCAGATACTGTGGGATTTTCTGCCTTCATATTCTGGGATATAGGGCTGCGTGGAAGGCCCCTGAGGCCCCTTCTACACTGCGGATAATCCCAATTATTTGCTTTAAACTGGATTATATGAATCTACACTGCCACACAATGACATTAAGAAATCATCACACTAATGGCAATAATATAAACATGAACTGTGCAGCACTATTTTAAAAATGTTTGCTTGTCTCTGGGTTTATATTCTGCACTTAACCCACAGCCAGTCTGGAGCAGTAATGTTTTGGGCTGACCCTGGATGGAGTCATACATTCGGTATATAAATTGCAGCAGCAGCTGGGTAAATCTATACAGTTCAGCCAGGCAAAAACTAGTTTGATTCCATTGGACCATTAGTTTACCATCTCCCATTGCTGATATCAGATGGCTGCAGAGCTTCAGGAGAGCTCTTAGCCAATGCAGGCAATCCATGCTGACATAGCATGGCCGGCATCAAGTGTCCAGTCAAGAGTACACTGTGACCATCTGGCAGCAATGGCAAGCACCCAATTCATACCCTTTTCCAAGAGAATTGTGTCAGCAGCTGTGTGGACAGTAGAGCGGTCAGCATCAGACCCAGACCTGCTGTCAACACTGCGCCCAAAGTGTGGAGTTGCTCCAGAGTTTCATCCAAACTCAGGAGCGTTCCCAGATTTTACTTAGCACAGGGCTAAACAAGTTTATCCCAGGCCCTTTCTACACTCCCATATGAAATCCAGATTATCTGTTTTGAGCTGGATTATATGGCAGTGTAGACTCATATAATCCAGTTCAAAGCAGACAATTTGGATTAGCTGCTTTGATAATCTGAATTATATAGCAGTGTAGAATAGGCCCCCACAATAAGGATGGGTGCTCTTTCAGAAGCAAGTTCTTTGTCAGTTTGGTC